TAAGTCCAGACTTAAAACCGGTTCTCAGTATATTATTTATAATCTCGGATGTAAATACTATCGTGTAAATTATCTGTACACAGCGCTTTGAGCATGCCCCAGGATGTGGAATAGGCGCACTATAAATATGCATTTATTATTATTATATTTTGCCTGATACCCAGCGTTCACACGCACTTGCACCTGAAACCAAGGTGCTCACTACCCTAATATTTTGCTCTAGGTTTTTTCTCCACGTTTACACTTGGTTGGAAAAATACCCATGAAAGCCCGGATTAGAATATTGAACTTCAATAACCCATGCTTGTCGTAAGAGGCCACTAACGGGATTGGGTGGTCAGGCGCGCTGACTTGGTTGACACATGTCATCGGTTCCCAACTGCGCAGATCGATGCTCATGCTGTTGATCACTGGATTGTCTGGTCCAGACTCGATTATTTATAGCTAAGATACATAGCGTTCACTTACATGAACGCTCATGTTAGTGAACGCTATGCATCTTAGCTAGATTATTTACAGACCGCCGCGATATAGCTTGACTATTGCTGAGTGCGGCGTAAATCTACACTCACTCACTCACTCACTCACTCAGTTGGTTCGTAAACTACTTCCATCATTTGCTGGACTATGCAAAAGGAGATAACTCGTGCCTCGCATTCCTCTATCTCTCGCACGAAAGAGTCTCGATCTAAGCTTCGATCGGATCGTAAGATCGGGACGGCTACGATCGGCCTAAGAACGGTTAGTGGAACGGGTGTAACTTTTAGCTAAGACGATTGTAAAATTGGCGTAACTTGCTAAGATTGATCTTAGATAAAATCGGTTAGTGGAACGGCACCCAGAACGTCAAATAACAAGGACTGTATGATCTCAATGAGCTAGAACGTACCACCATGCGGACTGTATGTCCTCAATTTAATAATTGTCACATCATGTGGACTGAAAGATCTCAAACATAAGTACTTGAACGTCACACCATGTTGACGGAAGGATCCCTTTGTACTAACTCGTCACACCATGCTAGATACTAAAGCACCTCACCTGTAACAACTAACTGCCCTAAACGTCGTTTCTTCATCAACTTCCCATTTCTAGCAATCCATCAATACAGTATATACAACATCTTTCGTTTCAGATTTACACTGCGTCCGACACTTTGAATTGCTGGGTTGAAGAAGAGGACCATGGAGATCCGCGTAGCCGATGATGGTGGGGATGAGTTGACGGTGCTAAGCTTCAAAGGCCGGAAGTACCCTATATTTCCCTCAAATGCGCTGGAGACATTACCGTCTGTTGAAATGCGCTCTGACGACATTCTGGTGTGTGCCTTTCCTAAGTCAGGTATGAAAAGGAATGAGAGCAGTATAACAGTACTGAATTAGCAAGAATGTATACATGCCACTTTGAACAATATTCTAATATCACAGCCTGGCAGTTTGATGTGGTAGAAGGTCCCGGACGTTTACTACTCCGGTTAAACAATCGAATACGGGTATGTTGGTGACAAAGCTTTCAAAATAATCAATGCGAGCAGGAATTTAGCTCCAAGACCTGACCTGCTTTAGGTTTAAGTCACATCTAGGGACCTACAAAAGCACACTCGGACTTCATACAGTAACACATGACAGGCATTACTGACTGTGACAGACTTTACACAGTGACATATAACATACGACTGACTCCGTGGTTAGAGCGTCCGCCCAGAGAGCGGAAGGTCGCCGGTTCATACATAAAATATGGTACTCGCTGGTCCCTGCCTAGCGATCGTCAATAATGGGTACAACAAGGACTGGTCGGCTCGGAGTCAGTATAATGTGTCTGAGTGGAGTATTACTGCGGCATGTTATCTCAGTGAGCTAGCACTATAAACCCAGCTTAAGTCTGGGATAGTTCAAGCAGCCACACATATACATGCAGACATGTCGTCATATGACCGAAATATTATGAAGTGCGTCGTTAAACGCCATGTCAGCTCACTTCACATATTCCCTGCATTACTGACTATGACACAACCTGACTTCATACAGTGATATATTACATGCATTACTGACTATGACACAACCTGACTTTATACAGTGATATATTACATGCATTACTGACCGTGACACGCCGTGACTTTATACAGTTACATATTACATGCATTACTGACCGTGACACACCCTGGCATTATACAGTGCGGGTCTGCAAATAATCGAGTCTGGACCAGACAATCCAGTGGTCAACAACAACTGGGATCCGATGACATGTGTTAGCCAAGTCAGATCTCGTTACAAACTGATCTCGTTAGTCACTTCTTACGACAAGGCATGGGTTACTGAAGGTCAATTCTAACCCAGATCTTCATGGGTAGTTACTTCATACAACCATAAAGTGTCATACTATAGGCATAATGAACTTGACACACCGTGACCTCATAAAGCAATACTGTGCCATAATACAGCAATAACTGAGAGTGACACATTATGACACGTTTCCTCATTCAGTCATACATTGACGGTCCATGACCTTATACAGCCATACAGTGACGCCCCTTGACCTTATACAGCCATACATTGACACCCCTTTACCTTATACAGCCATACACTGACACCCGTGACCTTATACAGCCATACAGTGACACCCCTTGACCTTATACAGCCATACATTGACACCCGTGACTTATACAGCCATACATTGACACCCGTGACCTCATGCAGCCATACAGTGACACCCTAGACCTTATACAGCCATACACTGACACCCTGTGACCTCATACAGCCATACAGTGACATCTCCCGTGATCTCATGCAGTCATACAGTGACACTCCGTGACTTCATTCAGCCATACAGTGACACCCCGTGAGCTCATGCAGTCATACAGTGACACCTGTGACCTTATACAGCCATACACTGACACCCCTTGACCTTATGCAGCCATACAGTGACACCCCTTGACCGTATACAGCCATACACTGACACCCGTGACCTTATACAGCAATACAGTGACACCCCTTGACCGTATACAGCCATACATTGACACCCCTTGACCTTATACAGCCATACACTGACACCCGTGACCTTATACAGCCATACACTGACACCCCGTGACCTCATACAGCCATACACTGACATCTCCCGTGACCTCATGCAGTCACACAGTGACACTCCGTGACCTCATTCAGCCATACAGTGACACCCCGTGACCTCATGCAGTCATACAGTGACACCTGTGACCTTATACAGCCATACACTGACACCCGTTGACCTTATATAGCCATACACTGACACCCGTGACCTTATACAGCCATACATTGACACCCCTTGACCTTATACAGCCATACAGTGACACCCGTGACCTTATACAGCCATACAGTGACACCCCTTGACCTCATACAGTCATACAGTGACACCCGTGACCTCTATTCAGCCATACAGTGACACCCCGTGACCTCATGCAGTCATACAGTGACACTCGGTGACCTCATTCAGCCATACAGTGACACTCCGTGACCTCATGCAGTCATACAGTGACACTCGGTGACCTCATGACCTTATACAGCCATACAGTGACACCCCGTGACCTCATGCAGTCATACAGTGACACTCGGTGACCTCATTCAGCCATACAGTGACACCCCGTGACCTCATGCAGTCATACAGTGACACTCCGTGACCTCATTCAGCCATACAATGTCATAATACAGCCATAACGGCCCGTGACACACTGGGACACACCGTGACCTCATACAACCACACAATAACGTACGCACTGCCGGCTGTATATTGAGTATAAACAGTACACAGTAGCGTATTGTGATCATTAATAAGTAAACCATACATGCAATCTTAACATGTCATTTCGTCATTTTCGATGTCAACCCTGATTTGACTTTTTATTCAATCACATGACCACAGTTAGTGACATCGCCATACACAAAAGAGTAGTAGTACGTAGTCCTGGTTTTGACGAGACACATTTTGCCTGAACCCTAAATATGGTCTTACTTTCTAGGTACCCACTGGGTTTGGGAGATTACTCGCCTGCTGGTGGCGGGAAAACTCGACCGTGATGACGTCAGCAAAGGGACTGCTATGATGGAATTCAGCAGTGAAGATGACTATAGAGATCTTCCTTCTCCAAGAATCCTCAACACTCATGTATTGTTCAACGAACTTCCGAAGCAGGTTAAAGAAAAGAAACCCAGGATACTGTACGTGACTCGGAATCCCAAGGACGTGACTGTGTCATACTACAACTTTGTGAAGAAGCTACCGATGTTCTACAAGTACTCTGGAGAGTGGAAGAATTTCGTCCGACCCTCACTGGAGGGGGAGGTGTAAGTGTTCCTTCTTTGACAACACGACACACATTTACTACATGTGAGGGGGCGTTGTGCTTGACTGGTGACAGAAGCGTTCGTTCCCCATGCCGAAGAAACCAATTGATGGTGCTCTCCGCCTTAATATTTCTGGAATATTGCGTGAGGCATAAAGCCATACTCACTCACTATGCACAGGTGAGTTTCTTATAAACCGACCCGTGATCCGGATAAGAAGTGATCTTCAGTAACCCATGCTTGTCGGGTGGTCAAGTCCGCTGACTTGGCTGACACATGTCATCGTATCCCAATTGTATAGAATGATGTTCATGCTGTTGATCACTGTATTGTCTGGTAAGGACTCGATTATTCACAGACCGCTGCCATATAGCTGGAATAATGCTTAGTGCGGCATAAAATTAAACTCACTCACACTTACAAACCACATTTCTATCCTTTAATTGTTTTGTCAGGATACACTGCTCACGGGTACGAATCCTAAATCATAGCTAAGAATGCCCTTGCTTATCAGCAATATTCACCTCATCGAGTGTTTTGAGATGGATGTCGACATCAACGTTCCTGAAACGCCCAAAATTTAACGAACTGTCTCTGCAAAATGGCGTTAGATCACACTCTTGAACTCTTCCACCTGCTCCTGACCAAGTTATTGTGACGTCATTAATATGTACCTTGTTTCAGTTGACTACGGCTCCTGGTTCGACTATGTCAAGGACTGGGAGGAGGTGAAGAAGACAACTGACGTCCCCATACTGACACTCAACTATGAAGATATGAAAGAGGTGAGCAGGACCACTGTAACCGATTTACCCATGATATCCCGTTTGAACGTACAATAGGATGTTACCATAATCATTCATGGTGCCTTTTTGCCCATCCTCGTGATTATACTCAATATAGAGGTACAGTGTCGTGTCCCTGAGCATTGGGTTTAAAAACAGCATTATCACTGATTCACTCAGTCATGTTTGTTGTTTTGCTGTTTTCAAAGTATTTTGGCATGAGAGTTGGGATTTTGGTCAAAATGTTATAAAAACAACTCTTCGAAACCTTGTGCATTGAAACATCGATCTGTGGTGATCAGGTGTCTCGGGTATCAGGATGTATTCCGTTACAAATACATATTCACTGTACAAGGAAGAGATGTAGTGTCAATACAACTATTTCACTTGTAACCTGAGTTCATGCTTTCATCAAAAGGTGTCCTCTCATTTACATTTTGACGTTCACATGTGTTTTTTCACGATCTGTTTGTTCAAAGGATGTTTTCCGTGAGGTGAAAAAAATTCGAGACTTCCTTGGAATTGACAGAAGTGATGAGTTCGTGAAAGAAGTGTGTGATCACTGCAGTTTCGGCTCAATGAAGGACATCAAAGCAAACTTTGCTGAGATCGTGTACAGAAAAGGTGAATATGTATTGCACAAAGAAACAACCAATATATTGAATCTTTCAAGCTGGTTTCCGCAACAAACATCGAGAGAATCTCTTACACTACTACAGAGAATACCGCTGTGTTATTAACGAGAGAGTTTAGAGTCTACCTCCATGTTTTGGTTGGTTGGTTGTTGTTTAACGCCGCACTCAGCAATATTCCAGCCATATGGCGGCGGTCTGTCTATAATCGAGTCTGGACCAGACAATCCAGTTATCAACAGCATGAACTTCGATCCACGCAATTGGGATACGATGACGTGTGTCAACCAAGTGAGCGAGCCTGACCACCCGAGCTACTAGTGAAACTAAACTCATTGTCTCACTCACTATCTTCACCGACTCAATACCTCTAAGTGACAGGAGCATCAAGGTCTGTTAATTACATGAACAAAGGCATTGGTCTTCTACATCATCTGGTTCAACTCCATCCGGCTTTTGGGTAACTGGAAGAGAGGCAGCTTTCTCCATTGTTTGGGGTTGGCCGCCTCACTGCGGGCATCTATGTGAAGCTGCAGAAGAGAAAATCAGCCCTTCAGCAAATACATGTATTGGATACCGGTGCCTCGTTCCACAAAGCGATCGTGGCGCTAAGATGATCGTAACTGCCATACTTTAACATAGACTTACGACAGTCGAAGCACTAAGGTGATCGTAACTGCCATACTTTAACATAGACTTACGACAGTCGAAGCACTAAGATGATCGTAACTGCAATACTTTAACATAGACTTACGACAATCGTAGCGCTACGATCGGTTTCTGGAAGAGGGCCCTTGAATTTTCTCCAGATTGTAAACGATTGGCAAAGACTGAATGAGAGACCTTTTTATGACATTGTTGGCTAAAGATGAACTATTCATCATAAGAATTATTCATCATAACAATTATTCATCATTCAGCAAAGTAGTTGGTATCTAAGTCAGTTTGCCATGTTCCGCCTGTAAATCCAAAGATGGAAACTGATTTTCAAGCACAGATTTGGTGAAATTATGAAGGTTATCAAATGAACCAAATTAAGACTTCATTCATTCCAACGACTGAATGTTGGGTTGGTTGGTTTGTTGTTTAATGCCGCACTCAGCAATATTCCAACTATATGTCTGCTGTCTGTAAATAATCGAGTCTGGACCAGACAATCCAGTGATCAACAGCACGAGCATCGATCGCAATTGGGATACGATGACATCTGTCAATCAAGTCAGCGAGCCTGACCACCAGATCCCGTTAGTCGCCTCTTACGACAAGCATGGGTTACTGAAGACCAATTCTAACCCGGATCTTCACAGTTCCGACTTTTGGGCAGTTCACAAGCATATTGTAGGAAATCAAGGACAGTGCTTGATTGTTAAATGTTAATGGTATTGTCCAACATAATTTTCGGTATGAGGAGTGCCCTCGGGTATATAATTTTCTACAATTTGACTCGTACATTAATTACTGTTCCTGTTTTCTTTCAGGTGAGATTGGTGACTGGAAGAACTGGTTCACTGTCACTCAAAATGAATGGTTTGAAAAATTGTACGAGGAGAAGATGAAAGATTGTCCCTTGACGTTAAGATATACATTGAAATAGAACTTTTGCGAGTGGAGGGGTAACGGAGTGTATGTCAGAGATATATTTTTAACCAATATGTTATTACAAAGGGTTAAAACAGCGGTAAAGCAGATGATTACTGGCACCCTGCTGTGAGGAATGTATGCTGTGTACATATATGTAATTGATAGGGATTGAAATGGCTAACGTTTCAGAACAGAATATATTGGCTAGATGGAGTGACCAGTGTGATTTGAACACCTTGTGGAGTTGGGAAAGGGAAAGGTTCAGTGGTAGAGTGAGTGAGTGAGTGAGTTGGATGTTTAGCAATTTCACGACGGGGGACACCTGAAATGGACACAGAGAGATAGAGATAGAAAGCGAAACAGGATGATATGGGGGAAGGGACTCAGAGAGAGACAGAGAGGGCGAGAGAGAGTCAGAGAGACATTGGGGGCGTAGGAATAGGTAAGGAGTGGTACCATACGGAGTGGGCTAGTGAGGGTAATTGGCTGGACGGTTAAGGTAACACCACCGATGCACAATGGAACATAAATAATTTGAAACTTGCGTGCTTGTCATAGAACTTATTGTATACCATATAAGTTTTAGAAACGTTTCATTCATATATCGTTCAAGCATGCTTTGATATGTGTCGGTGTTTAATCAGTGCCACTCTTTGGGGTGAGGACTAAAGGTTATATAGACCATACCCCGGTAACTCCAGCGGTATTTACATGTGTATTAAGTGTATATTTCTTCATTTACACTGCATGTAGTTTGATATGAACTGTGACAATCAAAAGCGCAATAAAAATATCTCTCAGCAATTGACCTTAATTTTCATTTCAGGATTCATTTGGATAACAGTATTACTGTGCCTGCTTAGTGGGTTTTGTCTCCCTTTACTCTTTTAATAGCCAAATTAAGATACAAAAAGTGGACACATTTCAAAACATTTCAGGTGAAGATCGAGTTGTGTAGCTTGTATTCGCGCTGATACGACATGTGGGAAGGTACTCACACCTGATCACATCAATAGTCCGTAGTGAGTCATAAATACTAGTAGGGTCGGTGGGGTAACCTAATTGTCAAAACGTCCGCTCTTCACGCCAATAACCCGGGTTCGATTCCCCACATGGGCACTATGTGTGAAACCCATTTCTGGAGTGACCCTCTGTGATATTGCTTGAATATTGCCAAAAGCGGCGTAAAACTAAACTTACTCATTCACTCATAATACATGTTTATGACATAATCGGAATTAAACAGTAGACTGAGATTTCTGATGATTAAGGGAAGAGGTTTTGTTACATACATTTAAAATGTGCAGTTGTCTTAGCGCCATGACCACGTACATGATACCGCCCACACATAACACAGTTCACACCAGCGGGAAGATTTCTGGTGTTGAAGGGGCAGTGGGGTAGCCTTGTGGTTAAAGCGTTCGCTCGTCACGCCGAAGACCCGGGTTCGATTCCGCAAATGAGTACATTGTGTGAAGGCAGGGCTCGATTTAAGAGATGTTAACCTACTTGCACCAGGTGCAACCTGAGATAAAAACCTAGTTGCACCAGCCAAATTCCAGCTGCACTGCTCTTATCTGCACACTTGACAAAACTCCAGAAAATCCAAAACGTTGCAGCCCGCATTGTATCCCTAACATCTAAAAGATCTCACATAACCCCTGTCCTAAAGTCTCTTCACTGGTTGCCCATCCAAGCCAGAATCGAATTCAAGATCTTGACCATTGTGTTCCAATGTCTACATGACCTAGCGCCTCAGTACCTCTCTGAACTCATCTCAGTGTACACACCACCACGACAGCTGAGATCACACCAACAGTTCCTCCTAACAACACCCCCTGTCCATCTCAAGAACTACGGTCACAGATCATTCAGCTATTCTGCTCCTTCACTGTGGAACAGTCTTCCCATAACCATCAAAACAGCAAAATCTCTTGACTTATTCAAATCTTCATTGAAGACCCATCTTTTCAGGAAATATTACGAATGACTTGTACAATTGCTGCAGTTATTTAGCTTTACACACGGGGCGCCATGAGCATACACTAGTGTGTGGAAACGGCGCCATACAAGTGGACATTATTATTACATTATTATTATTATTATTATTATTATTATTATTATTATTATTATTATATGTAATGAAAGAAATATGTTACTGAATTATTCAAAGTTTAGAAGAAAAATGAGCTGACATAATTATGCTTAAATGTTATATTTATTGTTGATAAAATTCTAAACAATTCACTTGCACCTGGTGCAAGTTAGACAAATTACTGGGTGCACTTCGTTACATTGGGTTGCACCAGTGCAAGTAACAAAGCACTAAATCGAGTCCTGGAAGGCCATGCCCTGTGTCCCACGCCGTGATATTGCTTGAATATATAAGCTTAATTTCATTTTCATGTATATTCGTAGCAAATATTTTCCAGTAGGGCAACACATGCTTACCCAGTTCCAGAACACCCGGTGTCGTCACAGAGTTTCCAGTATTCGTTGATATAGTTTTGACATCGTTTTATGCCCAATGGTGGATAATTGAGCCTGGCTATTCTCTGACGTCGGCGCATTATACATGAGTCCGACACACCGGGAAATTTCACATATCTAGTTCGAGACATCAGGGTAATAATAATGATAAATATAAGCAAATCGGCAGGGACTGAGAGATGAGTTCGAGACAACCGAGAACTCGTCTCAACCGAGTTCGAGACATTGGGGTTCGACTGTATTGTGTTGGGTAACATATACTGATGGTCAGAAATAACGGAAACACATAAAAGAACATGTGTACCTCTAATTATTCTCAGATCCCCATAAACAGCGCCATGCGAATAAACCTAGAAAAGAGTACAGGAACACTTGCACTTTCATGCGTTCCCTTATTTGTTTTCATCAGTGTACTTGCAAATTGTGTTAGAATGATTCAACTAGAAAGTCAGCTCTACATATTCAGAGCTATAATCCACGCGTTACCAACAGACAGTCGTCCATTTATGCTTAGCATACAAATTGAATGCTTTTCAAAGAAGACATCGCGTGTTTTGGGAGTTTGTGTACACAGTCTTTGCTATGGCGAGACCAGTTAATGTCAATACATACGTGCGAATGTATGCGAAGGGGGAAGCGAATCTCGTTTTGTATCATTATGACCTGAATGCGTAGCTGCATAAAGTCAATAAAAATAATTTGGAGTTAACATATTGACTGACTGACTCAGTTTTGGTTTTACGCCGCTTTTTGTCTGGGGACACCAGAAATAGGCTTCACACATTGTACCCATGTGGGGATTCGAACCCGGGTCTTCGGCGTGACGAGCCAACGCTTTAACCATTAGGCCTACCCACCTGCCCAGTTAACATATTGAAATGAGGCGACTGATACAATCTGACAAAATTGCTATTTTAACCAAATGTTTTTGCTACGTTGCGTTTCTCATGGTCGAGGGTTCTATTTCCCTCTTTTAGCAAACGATATCACCCATCATGTATTATTACATGTCACGTTTACCCGTGAAGATCCGGGTTAGAATTGATCTTCGGCATCCCAAGCTTGTCGTAAGAGGCGTCTAACGGGATCGGGTGGTCAGTCTCGTTGAATTTGTTGACACATGTCATGTTATCGCCAAATGCCGTTGATCACTGGATTGCCTGGTCCACACTCGATTATTTACAGACCGCCGCCATGTAGTTGCAATATTGCTGAGTGCGGTGTAAAACAACAAATAAAACATCGTTGAAGATCTCATGTTCATGCACATCGCTTTGCAATCCTCATCATTACAGGTACATATTCAGGCTTGACGGTGATCGCTTTAACCACAAAGCTAGATCCTGTGTAAGGTTTGAGAATATCCTAAACAATCTATGCTGGTCGTTAGAGGTGATGCAGTGGATGGGGTCATCAAGTGCTAATCGTTCTCGGTTTACGCATCATTGGTCTGGAGCAGATTCAATGATTTAAAATGAGTCCCTCATATAAATAGACTATAGCAGAATATGTGGCGTAAAACGATTAACAGTGAGTGAGTCTAGTTTTGAGCCACTTTTAGCAATATTCCAGCAATATCACGGCGGGGAACACCAGAAATGGGCTTCACACATTGTACCCATGTGGGGAATCGAACCCGGTTCTTTGGCGTGACGAACGGACGCTTTAACCACTAGGCTACTCCGGCCAAAACGATAATCAGATTTATTAACACGAGAATGATTGATTGGACACATCGGGTCAATGATGCAGTGCTTGTGTCAATGCACACCCGCGTAAAGAAATGCGGCATTACTGTTTACACGCTCAAGATACCTAACCTACATTATTCGGGTGAGCATTGTTGATGAGAGAAGGCTGTATGGATGCATCTCACGCAAAGCAACGCTCACCGATGAGGAGACCGCTCCTGTAGCAGGTGCAAGTACTTCTACTCATTCACGAACGTCCTGGCATCAGAAAGGAACAGAACGGAACAGAATAGAAGGTATATTCACACAAACTTCAGACAAAGTGATATCGTGAATATGCAGCTGTTATCGTTTTCCGTGTACACATACATTTGTTGAGACAGTCAAAAGAGGAAGACATGTTTGAAAGATTTTGTCAACTTATATATTAAGGGAACGTAATCAAACATTAGCAGTGTCAGGAACTGTAAAATACTTGCATATGTAATGAAATAATTTTGATTGCGCAATGCCAACCTCTTGGCGTGAGTGGAGGTGTAGAGTTACCCCCCTTTAATCTTGCCCGATCTCGGTCGCCTTCAGCGACCAGTACTGAGATAACTACCATGGATAATTATCGATTTCAACTATCTGTTTAATCGACAAACAATTACTAAGAGCATAATCAGCTGCACAGCTCGTATCGTGTAGTTTTACAACTCCATAGTCCATGTCCGCTAAAACAGCTAAACATAGCAGCGCAAAAAAGTAGAAACGTAATACTGAAACGGAATAGAATTGATTTTCATTCGCTTTACTGTAATTACTGAACTTTGGCACCTGGTGAGTGGGGATTCTAGCTTACCACAATGGAGCAACCAATTAATGTTCCTTGTTGTGGTTGCTGGATGTAGGTGTCAAGTGTTTTTCATTCATTCATTCATTTTTTATTCTTAATGATTTAATCAAGTGTGGTTATGAGCCTCAACTTGAAATATGACTGCCTTGCATTCTCTCTCAACCTCTATTGCACAGTGTTTTATGTAATAATACAGTAAATAGTGTTTTTTTAAAATAACAACTGGAAAAAAGAAGAATGAATTATGCCATAATTAATATGTTAATGATGTATATATCCATTCTGGATGGGTATGTAAGTATAATAATGCAAGTTAATTTTGTGGACTGAAAACTTCTAAGATATTTTTGTTATGCTATTTGTGACAGTTTATAAGGGATGTATGTTGCTTGCTCATACTTCTCAGAGAATTTTTCTTCTGAAATACAAGAAAAATAAACAGGTTCATGTACACACTCGTGACATTATGAAAAGAGTGATGATCTGTAAATCATGGAAGTTAGGGTATATTCAGTAACAAACCATCACACACAATACCATGATGATCATGTCAGAGTTAAAAGGTCGACCCACTTTAACTTCTCACCCCTCAAAGATCACGGCCCCTTAAGCAGTTAGTGGCTTCCGTTTCTATAATATTTTTAGCCTCCAAGTAATATTGTGTCAACGTTGCTGCCAGTATCATGTAATGATCATTTATAGCTTTCCATATGATTATTGAGCACTTGATGAAATATAAAATTTGAGATGCGTAAAGGTGGGAGGTGTTTGTAACAGACACCAGACATACAGGGCATACTTACTTCAGAATGAAAAAATGGGTGAGTTTGTGCCTCATCTCAGAAGGCTATACTTATAACTGAAAAAAATGTGATGATGTAGAAATTATTGAAAAACATTTCATTAAACAGTTCCTTTAAACTTTCACCTACATAAAAATCCCCTTTCTGGTCAGCCTGAAATAAATGTGAACTTCACACTGAGCCCTTCATAGCAGCTTGAACTTGTTATTCCATGCTCTGTCATCAATAACATTAATATTAGCTGGACTAAATAGTGGCTAGAATTGTCCCCCCTTCACAATGTGCTTGAAATGGTGTCTGCTGCTTGTATTAGAAGGGCAAGCAGCTGAAGTTTCTTAGGTAAAATATTGTTCCTGAGATGAAAGTGACAAGGTAAACGATGCCTTTAAATTTATTTTTGTTAGTGTAATTTTCCCCAGCAACCCATGCTACCTGATGTGGATATGGTTGTCAAGCTCCATGACTTAGTTATTGTCTAGCAATGGCGTGGATGCTTATAATCTCAATAACTGGATTGTCTCGTCCAAACTCAGTTGTTAACAGATATCATGTAGCTGGAATATTGTGTAGCAACAAACAACAAACAAACAAAAACAATTTATGCCAGCTTTGGGTTAGAGAAAATGTTACAGATAAGCATAGTCAAGTAAATTCAAGCATGCATTATTGACCCACTGCTTTCAGATTTTGCCCATAAATATTAAGTATAGGAACCCAAAAGTAAATAATAAATTCCATTAAAATATAGATTTCTACCTTGTTCCACTTCAAACACTTTTATTTGAGGGAATATAAGTAATGATATAAAAAATCTCTTAAAATTAGTACTGTAGATCAGCCCAGTCTGCTCTTAAATATGAAGTGTGATTTGCTATGAGCAGCCAAAGTGAAATCTGAAGATTTTATTGATTGTAGATGTTATGGTGTTATCCTTCTTCTGGTTGAATGTGTATGTGTAAAGATTATCTGAAAATATGCAATATTGTCCCCAGATTCAGCTCACAATTTTAAAATGTGATGATTAATTTTTAGTATTAGACTGAGGTTGGTTTATTTCGACGCTTTTAGCAATATTCCAGCAACATCACGGCGGGGGAACACCAGAAATGGGCTTCACACATTGTACCCATGTGGGGATTCGAGCCCGGGTCTTCGGCGTGACGAGCCAACGCTTTAACCACTAGACTACCCTACCACCCCTTTAGTATTAGACTTAAGGGACATTATCCCTCTTCTGGTCAAAGGCATACAGGATTGAATATAGTTTACTGTGACTCTTAAAGTTAGTACTAATGGCCTATTTACTTGGAGTCTGCTTTCTACAAGTCTGAAATATGATCTACTATCATCAGATTTTAGAGTTGTTTTCCTGTGTCTAATCAAGGGCAAATGAATAGTAATGCAGTTAGAAATCTGAGAACATTGGCAATATTGACCTGTTGCATGTAGATTCTGCAAGTTTCGCATATGACTTAATTACTATCAACAGCCAAGACGATATCTTTGGATTCCATTATTGTAGTGTTTAGTCATCTTTAGTCAAGACAGATATTGTCACAGCATGGAGTAAGAACACAACACAAGTATGGATTAAGAATAACTTTATCAGATAAATATAACAAGGAAATACCTTGACACTTTGCACTCTCACACCTGTTTGGCTAGCGTCCACTAATTTATCGCCCTTCAAGGGCATCACACAATGCACACAGTTCACACACTCCACACAAATCATACATTTCACAATCACTGTTTCCCTCAAAATACTAAAGGTTACTTCATGCAACTAGACCGCCTCTGTGGTGTAGTGGTTAGAGCGTCCGCCCGGAGAGCGGAAGGTCACGGGTTCGATCCCCGATTGCGTCATACCAAAAGACGTTAAAATATGGTACTTGTTGTCCCCTGCCTGGTGCTTGGCATTAATGGGTACAACAAGGACTGGTCGGCTCGGAGTCAGTATAATGTGTCTGAGTGGGGAATTCATGCTTCACTGCGACATGGTATCTCAGTGGGCTAGCACTATATAACCAGCTTCAGTCTGGGCTAGTACAAGCAGCCACACATACATATACACATGCAGGCACGTCGTCATATGAGCAAAATATTCTCAAGTACGACGTTAAACCGAATTTCACCTCACCTCACCTCATGCAGCTAACTAATACATTAATACATTAGAAAACTAACACTCTACAGACCTCATACAATACATCCAACTGCAGATTTTTAAGGCATAATCCCACTCTTGGTTAAAGGCCTGTGAGTATTATTAATAAATAAGATTAGTACTGTTAACTCATTTCATTCAGAATTTGCTCACAAAATTGAAATGTTATTTACTATCATCAGTCCAAAGGAAATCTTTAAATTCCATAAACTGTAGGTTTTAAAGGCTTTATCCCACTTGTGGTCAAGGGCATGTGACATATAATCATTGTTAATAATCACTGAAAACTAGAATTAATGACCCAGTCCATTCAGAAATTGTTCACTGGATTGAAATGCTCTATTTACTATCATCAGCCCAGAGAACATCTTCAAATTCCATATACTGTAGGTTTTAAAGGCATTATCGCACTTCTGGTCAAGGGCATGTGACTAATGATAATAGTCAAAAATCTCTGAAAATTAGAACTATGGACCCTGTACATTCAGAATTTGCTCACAAGTTTGAATTGCCATTTCCTATCATCAGTCCAAAGCAAATCTTGAAATTTAATTAAACTGTAGGTTTTAAACGTATTATCCCTCTTCTGGTCAAGGGCATGTGGCTAATAATAATAATTAAAAATCTCTAAAAATTAGTACTATTGACCCAGTACATTCAGAATTTGCTCACAGGCTGTAAATGTTATTTCCTATCATCAGTCCAAAAGGAATCTTGAAATTTTATCCTACTTCTGGTCAAGGGCATGTGACTGATAATAATAGTTAAAAATCTCTAAAAATTACTACTATTGACCCAGTACATTCAGAATTTGCTCACAGGTTTTAAATGTTATTTCCTATCATCAGTCCAAAAGGAATCTTGAAATTTAATTAAACTGTAGGTTTTAAAGGCTTTATCCCACTTCTGGCCTGTCAAGGGCATGTGACAGATAATGAAGTGTGAAATGTTATTTAGTATCATCAACCCAGAGGAAATCTTGAAATTCCAGTAAAGTTCGCACAAGACATACAATGAATAAAAAGAAATTCTGCTTTATGTATGTCCATTTTTTTACATGAAACTCCATTTTGTCTGTAATTCTTGCATTTACAGTTTTACACAGTGTTAGAAATTGTTGAGATGCTTGTAATTCTGGTTGTTGAATTTGTCAGTCAGAAAATGACATGCTTCTTTCACTGCTTTCTACTACACCAAAAATATTCACAAGAAAATGCCCCCCAACACACTTATAAAACATGGACAGTATTTCGAATTAATAGGGATGTAAAAGTGAGTGAATTTGGCAGGAGTGGAGGGGAGAGGAGTGTGTGGTGTGTGTGGAGTGAGTGAGTGAATGAATGTATTGGTGGGTGGGTGGGTGAATGAGTGAGTGGAGCATAGGGAGCGGAGTGAGTGAAGTGGAGTTGAGTGAGTGTAGCGGATGGTGCGAAAGGAGCAGAGATGACTTGAGAGGAATGGGTGGAGTGGAGCGGAGTGTCTGATGTGAGCAGAGTTGAGCAGCGTGGCATGGAGCAGAGTGAGTGGAGCAGAACAGAGCAGAGAAGAGTGGCATGGAGTGGAGCGGAACAAGTGAGTGATCGGAGGGAGTGGAGTGGAACAGAGAGGACAGGAGAGGAGCAGAGTGAGTGTTATGGAGAGGAATGGTATTGAATGGAGAGGAAAGGAGTGAGTGGAAATGATGGAGTGGAGTGAGTGGAATAGAGAGGGTGGATCGGAGCTGAGCAGAGCGAAGTACGAGAGCGGAGCGGAATGGAATAGGTGGCGGTGTGGAGTGAGCGGTGTGGAGTGAGTTTAGTTTTACGCCGCACTCAGCAATATTCCAGCTATATGGCGGCGGTCTGTAAATAATCGATTCTGGGCCAGACAATCCAGTGATCAACAACATGAGTATCGATCTGCGCAATTGGGAACCGACGACATGTGTCAACCGAGCCAGCAAGCCTTACCACCCGATCCCGTTAGTCGCTTCTTACGACAAGTATTCTAACCCGGACCTTCACGTGTAGAGCGGTGTGGAGAGGACTGGTATTATGTGGAGTGGAGAGGAGTAGAGCGAGTTAGTGGAACAGAGGCAGCGGAGAGGAATGAGTGTATAATAGAGAGGGCGGATTGGAGCTGAGTGGAGTGTAGCGAAGTGAGTGGAACGGTGTAAGTGGAATGGAGTTAAATGGAGCAGAGCGGAGAGTAGTGGAGGGAGAGGAGCAGAGTGGAGTGGTTTGACGTGACTTGAGTTGAGTGGATAGAGTTAGTGGAGTGGAAGCGGAGTGGGTGGAGTTAGTCGAGCGAGTGGAGTGGGTGGAGTGACTGGAGTGGATTGGAGCGGAGCTGAGGGGAGGGGAGTAGGTGGAGTGAATGGAGCAGAGTGAGTAAGAGGAGTGAGTGATATGAGATTTGTCTTTGTGTCTATAAACATTTTAATAATTTTAGTCACAACAGTATCCTCAAATATTTATTTCACCAAATTGGTACGGGGGACACTTAAAAAGTGTAACATTAAACTTAACATCTACACTTAAGCACTGTATCTTATCATTTACTTCTTCAGTTACCTTTACAGGTAAGTAACAGGATGCAAATTCTGCTTTTAGATGGATATTTAAAAATGGCAAGCAATATTTATGTGGTTATTTATCTTGCACACCTACCTCTTTTTCAAAGAATGCTCTTGGAACTTGCATAGTTTCTGGAGTTGAATGTTGCTGTTTTCTATACCTGAAAAAAAAGTTCTTTAGGCCACACCAATTTTATTTCTTGTTTTACGCATCCACGGGTTGTATTTTTTCAAGAATAAGAAATTTTTTTTGAAAAAAATGTCCCCGCTTGCAAAATAAAATCCTAATGTTTAGAAATACTCAGCGAGACTTCGACTATTCAAGGCAGTTTGTGGACACTAAAACACAGGTATCTGTTTTAGAGACTTTAAACTGAATTATCTAACAATATTTGTGTTACAAATCAGTGCTTCAAGCACCTCAGCGAGTGTGACCTTGAAAATCAATGCCTTTGAAAAACTCATGTGGGTTTTTGCTTTGACTGGTGACTTTTTTTAAAAAAAATAATTCCCTCCTGCCTTTATGTTTTCTGGTGACAAAAATCTGCTAAACAAGAAATAAAATTGGTCTGGCCTTATAGTAGATTCAATTTCACATATAGATAGAATTCCAAGGAGGAACTGACTCTATATGAAAGGTGTGAAAGCCTACTGTATATTTGAGCAAGGTGGTTGTCTGATAAGGAAATATATAATATTTTGTGAAATAATGTGTAAATCTGTGAAAGAATTCTTATGGGAATTTATATGATTAGGTAATTTCTTAATTTTCGCAATGCATGTAAACAAATAATGTGTCTTGGTTTTAACTCTTGTATAAAATATGTTGAAAAGTTAAAATGTGACGCATTAAGGTATTAAATATGAATTTTAATAAATATGTCCACTATGGAACAAGTAAATTTAAGAAGGAATGTGGAGTAACCTCTTACCTTGAAAAGTTTTGGTTGATAGACTGATTTTGGTTAGTAACTTTGATAAAATGAATTCGATTGTATGTTAAATATGGGTTTTTATGATTTTCTTTTCTCAACAAAAAGCATTGAAGAAAAATCATGAATAATATACATGTATTTAGAGGTGTGCAGTTGTAACTAAAGATGGGTAGGGTAGTTATGATATGTAAAGTTTTCCATTTCCTAACCTATCTGACCGCCTCCGTGGTGTAGTGGTTAGAGCGTCCGCCCGGAAAACGGAAGGTCGCGGGTTCGATCCCCGACCGTGTCATACCAAAAGACGTTAAAATATGGTATTTGTTGGTCCCTGCCTGGCGCTCGGCATTAATGGGTACAACAAGGACTGGTCGGCTTGGAGTCAGTATAATGTGTCTGAGTGGTGTATTCATGCTTCACTGCGACATGGTATCTCAGTGGGCTAGCACTATAAAACCAGCTTCAGTCTGGGCTAGTACAAGCAGCCGCACATACACATACACACGCATGCACGTCGTCATATGAGCGTAATATTCTCAAGCACGATGTTAAACCCAATTTCACCTCACCTCACCTAACCTATCTAACAATCTTAATAGGTTATAGGAGATGTTAGAAGTATTGAGCTCTTAGACTGCAGCACAGGTCCGAAGTTTCTGATATACCATGACTATCATGACCATTAACTTCCTCATTGATCATAGCTACGATGCAGGTTCCAAAACAAAAACTCTTTTGTGTAGTATTTCATTGTTATAACGAACAACAATGTTATGTACTGTGTGACTATCACAACGATTAAGCAAAATTCTTTTTGTTTCCTGAGGAAATAACATTCATATCATTCTATACCATATGTTAAATGCATACCATTGTAAAACTGATTTCTTCAAAACTTACATATTAAAGGACAATGAAAATAGAACAAGAACAAAGAATTTATTCAGTATCAGAGGTCACATGGCCAATAGTACAACACATAAGATTGTCCATTATGCACAAGGACAGGTGGGCCAAATGTTATGCCATCTTAATGCATTGAATATGTATAGCTTTTGAAATATGGCTTGTTTTCCAGTAGGCCAGCTTTTGCGTAGTTTGTGCTAACTATATTTAAGATTCTTGTTTTGTCAGATATCCGGTAAGCATAATTCTAAAGCCTGAGTCACACCAGGGTAGTTCTTATACATCCAGCCCCATCCCAAAACATAATTGTAAAACGGGCTAGAAAGGGCTAGAACGGGCTAGAACACTTAACTTTTGTTAAATTACGATGCTAATTCGATCATAAACAGTCTGTCTCGTCTTTACACCGTCCCCAAACAGTTGGTATTGCGTTTAAACTGGGAAAATTACCCCCCTGCATGTCATGTACAAAATCATTTTTATGTACAAAATTGATGACTCCCTACCTACCCAGGACAAAATGAGTGGAACCCATTCAGGCTCTCTGACTTGGTTGACACATGTCATCGGGTTCCCAGTTGCGCAGACTGATACCTCATGCTGTTGATCACTGGATTGCCTGGTCCAGACTCGATTATTTACAGACCTCCGCCATATAGCTTGAATATTGCTGAATGCGGCATAAAAATAAACTCACTCACTCACTTCCTCCTCCTCCTCCTCATCATCATCATCAGGGGCGGTGGGGTAGCCTAGTGGTTAAAGCATTCACTCATCAAGCCGAAGACCCGGGTTCGATTCTCCACTTGGGTACAATGTGTGAAGCCCATTGCTGGTGTTCCCCATGATATTGCTAGAATATTGCTAAATTCGGCGCAAAACTAAACTCACTCACTCACTCATCATCATCATCATCATCATCATCCTATGTCCCTATATAACCCCACTAATACACTTCAATTTCAGGCTCAAGTACTTGAACGCACATTCAGACGCTCTGGACTCTGTTAAATAGCGTTGTTTACGTCACACCAGCAAACACCCTGAATTCACCATGGAATTGATACAAGTGGCCGATGATGTTGGAGATGAGATGACGCTGGTAAGCTACAATGGCCGGAGATACCCCTTGTTCCCCGGATCAATGCAGACCAGACCGTTGGAAAAAATACCATCTGTAGAAATTCGTTCTGACGATATTATAGTGTGTACTTTCCCAAAGTCAGGTGAGTAAACTGTACTTATTGATGCAGTAATTTAATTGTGACAAAATCTGATTCGAGGTCAGGAATCACTTCCTGGTTAGAGCTGGTAGTCTAACTTAAGATGTGACATGGTGCCAGCTTGGCTTGGATTTTAGAGGCTTGGTAGGAAAACTGTCGTGTGTTCAGCTTTGCAAAACATTGACAAAAACACGATTACAAATTTAGATTCGCCAAGGACAGTTTGAAGACAGAAGAGGTAATGATCGATCTTGTAATCGCAAAGAAACCAAGGGAGAACAGTGAATTAAGTCAGCTTTACAGTAGGGAGAATGGTGTTTTTCATACCTCATTACTCTTGTTGAACATAATTGTGATCTCACACACAGTGACACAATGTAGACTATTATTATTATTATATTATTATTGTATGCCTCATTTCTATAGCGCCGTATTTCTAGGTCACTCTAAGGTTCTTCACAGGTTTGACGTGTTTGCAGGATACATCTTATCATTCCATTACATGACTATGGGATTGTGTCAGTCTTGTTAGTCTCAGTATTAATGAGGAGTAATAGTGTGAAGAACTTGGAAACATGCCGAAAATATTTTACACAAACCATGAAAGTCCATATGGTGTTATTATCTAGGTACCCACTGGGTCTGTGAGATGGTTCGCCTGCTGGTGGCGGGACAGCTTGACCAAGATATCGGCAAGGGGTTTCACGTGATTGAAGGTTTCAGTGAAGATACCTATAAAGATCTCCCTTCTCCAAGAATCCTCAACACCCATTTGTTGTTCAACGAACTTCCGAAGCAGGTTAAAGAAAATAAACCCAGGATAGTGTATGTGACTCGGAATCCCAAGGACGTGACTGTGTCATACTTCAACCATGTGAAGAAACTCAGTTACAACTATTCTGGGGAGTGGAAGAATTTCGTCCGACCTTCACTGGAGGGGAAATGTGAGCGTTTTGAAGAAGTCTATGGTCACACAAAAATGCAAACATCAAACATCTTGTGAATGTAGTATAGGGGATTGTGTAATCCTCTCAACAATTCCACAGCAGTAAGATTCTTGTCAGCACCTTGTCTGACCTTTCTGATATAGCAGGATGTAAAAGATAACCTTCTTGAAGTTACATCAAACACAACTCCACTACTCTCTGGGTCCAGCGTCATTTCCATGATTTTCGTGTTACTTTGATGTACCTTGCTTCAGTTGACTACGGTTCCTGGTTCGACTATGTGAAGGACTGGGAGGAGGTGAAGAAGACAACTGACGTCCCCATACTGACACTCAACTATGAAGACATGAAAGAGGTAAGCGTGGTCTTGATTCCAAAATTATTAAACTGCAGGGGTGGATATATATCTTTAAAATTGCTAGTGTAGTCCGGAACAGTAGCACATGTAATATCACTTGCCCTGATAATTTTTCCACTGTACTGGCCATTTTCTTGTTGATTTTTTCCAACATTTGGAAAGTCAAGTTTGTGTGATATACAAATTTGCTTGCCCGACAGAAAAAAACACTGGAATCGGACGTCGGGCAAATGGGTTATTTCCACCCCTGAAACTGTAGCTGTTAAATACTTTATCTAACATTCATAGATAGTGACCAGTGATATATATGTCTTGTTGAAATACTAAAGACGTCCACGGACTACCAGTTAACTTCAACGACATGATGAGTGAACAGTTTACATGGGTGTGTCTTTCTAACATAATTCCTGTATCCAGTTTTACGTACATGTGCTTGTGGAGTTGCAACTTAGTATCTCGAGGTATGTAAATGAATTCTAGATTTGTTTCCAAGACATGGATCCGTAGTTATGATGTTTTTCTTCAGGTTGTATATATGTTTTTACATTGACATAGTTTAGCATATATAATTTTGTGTTGTCAAGTTATAAAACAGTATCTCTAAAAGTCCCTGAACAACCGCTGATCATCCCTGGCCGGGCCTAGTTTTACGTACATGTGCTTGTGGAGTTGCAACTTAGTATCTCGAGGTGTGTAAATGAATTCTAGATTTGTTTCCAAGACATGGATCCGTAGTTATGATGTTTTTCTTCAGGTTGTATATATGTTTTTACATTGACATAGTTTAGCATATATAATTTTGTGTTGTCAAGTTATAAAACAGTATCTCTAAAAGTCCCTGAACAACCGCTGATCATCCCTGGCCGGGCCTAGTTGTAAGAAATACCTGCAGGGTCTGTAGTCATCTACACGAAACTTCACGGGTCTGTTTCTTGGTTTAAACGTATCAAATTGCCTGGCTGGCTCAACTAGAAATTTCAGCAGTGATCAGGAGTCCTTTCGAGCAAATTGTGCAGTAATTAACAAGCTAAATGTTTGGCAAGAATTCAGTAAAGCCAGGATCTAGTTCTGCAACATGTGTGTAACATATGAATGATGCCTCGTACACTCCACCATGGCATGTCTGTCGGCATCTTGACTTAGTCACCACTTAGAAAAGTACCTTGTGAAAATTGTCTGGTTAATATTGGTTCTTCGGTTCGACATCTTGGTCTCACTGGGGGTCCGAAATTATTAACATGCATGCGCTGTAAAGTCAATAATGGCCCCAGCGTATGCAGCCCGTGTAATTAGTTTCGATATCACCCCATCTCACTGGGCTCATGTTCATTGTTTCAGTCTGTTCAAGAAATAAGCAATATTTATGTTTTATATGTTCCAAGGATGCATTCCGCGAGATGAAAAAGATGCAGACCTTCCTTGGAACAGAGAGAAGCGATGACTTTCTGCAGAAAGTATGTGATCGATGCAGCTTTGCCTCCATGAAGAATAGCAAGGAACCTCTGTCTCAAATCATGTACAGAAAGGGTGAGTGTATCTCACCCATTTGGCCCTTCTGGGTGGACTATCTGGTCAGACTGACACTTCATCTCCAAGTGCGCTCTGTGGAATAAGATTTCCAGAGAATGATAAGAAATATATATATATGTCATCAAATGGTCATTTATATCGATGTTTTAAACTGCAACACGTGAAAGTCCGGGTTAGAATTGATCTTCAGTAACTCATACTTGTCGTTAGAGGCAACATACGGGGTCAGGTGGTCAGGATTGCTGACTTGGCTGGCACATGTCATCGTATCCCAATTGCATAGATCAATGCTCATCCTGTTGATCACTGTATTGTCTGGTCCAGACTTGATTATGTACAGACTTCCCCCACATAGCTGAAATATTGCTGAGTGTGGCGTAAAACTAAACTCACTCACTCACTTTAAACTGAGGGCAACTTAAGGGCTGCAAAGTAGAGAGTAACTGGAAGCGACAAAACCCTTTCCACATCCACACAAAATCTCTGCTAATAGCTATTCGGACTATGTTTTGACCTTGCATGCATGAATCACTGTGAAATAGTAATGATAACAGGTGTTCGAGAAAACGTGTGTGTATACTGCCTGACTTGTGTCACCCATCATAAAGAAATCCGAGTCAATTGTGTATCTGAAAAACACATGTGAATGTATGGTGCAGGTCGAAATAGGGAATGGCATTGGACATCATTATTCTCACCGATACATCAGATTTAGACCATATTGGTGCCATTTACTTATTTCTGCATATTGGCTGTTCCTCTCCACGTGGAAAATATAGGAACGATTTAAGATGTACATTTGTATTAAGAAATTATACTTTTGCTTGGGGTCGAACACTTGTGAGTCGAATCTGAATAACCTACAACTTGAAGATTTTCAGTCCACACATTTCATAACAATCATGAATACAATACTCCAACATTTGATTCAATCATTGACTTTTGTTCTTTCAGGTGAGACTGGGGATTGGAAGAATTGGTTCACTGTGGCACAGAATGAGTGGTTTGATCAAATCTACCGGGAGAAGATGAAAGATTGCCCTTTGGAGTTCAGATATACGTTGAAATAATGATGTTATGGAATGGCTAGAGTTGATAGAAATGGATGGAGTGCATAGAATAGTCCGAGTGACTAACACAGGTATAGCAGCTGGAAGGTGCACAATGGCTGCCTATAGTGTAGTCAGCAGTGAGAGAGGGTAGAGTGACAGGTGTGAGATGTGAAAGTGGGTACAGTGATGTGCAGGGGAAAGCTGGCTTGGACTGGAGGGTGTGGAGAGAGTTAGCAGTGGAGGGTATGCAGTCGTTTGAACCGACGGAGTGAGTGGGCAGCTATCATGGAAAAAATAGTGTGCTTTGCATGAGTGAGTTTTAGTGAGGCCGCTTTTAATAGCAAAATTCCTGCCATATGGTAGCGGGGGACACCAGGAATGGGCTTCACACATTGCACATTTCATTATTGTTCCTCATTGTCTGAATGTTTTCTCAAATAAATGGGTGGATAGAGTGAAAGATGGTGGGGAGCGGAGTAGTGAGAGAGAGGGGTGGGTAAAAGAGTGGGTAGAGAGGAAGATGGTGGGACATTGAGTGGTGCGATGAGAGAGGAATGGGGGTGGAGTAAATGAATGGGTGTAGAGGAAGATGGCGGGACACTGAGTGGTGCTATGAGAGAGGGATAGGGGTGGAGTAAATGACTGGGTGTAGAGGAAGATGGCGGGACACAAAAGGGAGAGAGTGGTTGAGAGAGGGATAGGGGGTGGAGTGAATGAATGGGTGTAGAGGAAGATGTTCGAGACACTGAGTGGTGCAATGAGAGAGGGATAGGGGTGGAGTAAATGAATGGGTGTAGAGGAAGATGATGTCGAGACACTGAGTGGTGCAATGAGAGAGGGATAGGGGGTGGAGTAAATGAATGGGTGTAGTGGAAGATGTTGAGACACTTAGGTGGTGCAATGAGAGAGGGGATAGGGGTGGAGAGCAAATGAATGGGTGTAGAGAGGAAGATGGCGGGACACTGGAGTGGTGCAATGAGAGAGGGATAGGGGTGGAGTAAATGAATGGGTAGAGAGGAAGATGGCGGGACACTGAGTGGTGCAATGAGAGAGGGATAGGGGTGGAGTAAATGAATGGGTGTAGAGGAAGATGGCGAGACACTGAGTGGTGCAATGAGAGAGGGATAGGGGTGGAGTAAATGAATGGGTGTAGAGGAAGATGGCGGGACACTGAGTGGTGCAATGAGAGAGGGATAGGGGGTGGAGTAAATGAATGGGTGTAGAGGAAGATGGCGAGACACTGAGTGGTGCAATGAGAGAGGATAGGGGTGGAGTAAATGAATGGGTGTAGGAGGCGGGGAAACTGGTGGTGCAATGAAAGAGAGAGGAATGGGGTTGGGTTTAAATGAATGGGTGTAGAGGAAGATGGCGGGATACTGAGGTGGTGCAATGAGAGAGAGGAATTGGGTGGAATAAATGAATGGGTGTGGAGGAAGATGGCGACACAGTGATGGTCACGAGAGAGGGATAGGGGGTGGAGTATTAAATGAATGGGTGTGGAGGAGATAAGCGAGACATTGAGTGGTGCAATAGAGAAAGGGATAGAGGGTGGAAGTAAATAATGGGTGTAGATGGAGGAAGATGGCGAGACATTAAGGTGGTGCAATGAGAGAGGGATAGGGGGTGGAGTAAATGAATGGGTGGAGAGGAAGATGGCCCGGGACATTGAGTGGTTACAATGAGAGAGGGGGATAGGGAATGGAGTAAATGAATGGGTAGGAGGAAGATGGCGGGACACTGAGTGGTGCAATGAGAGAGGGATAGGGGTGGAGTTTAAATGAATGGGTGTAGAGGAAGATGTGCCCGAGACACTGGGTGGTGCAATGAGAGAGGGATAGGGGGTGGAGTAAATGAATGGGTGTAAGGAAGATGGCGGGACACTGAGAGTGGTGCAATGAGAGAGGGATAGGGTGGAGTAAATGAATGGGTGTAGTGGAAGATGTTGAGACACTGAGTGGATTGCAATGAGAGAGGGATAGGGGTGGAGTAAATGAATGGGTGTAGAGGAAGATGGCGAGACACTGAGTGGTGCAATGAGAGAGGGATAGGGGTGGAGTAAATGAATGGGTGTAGAGGAAGATGGCGGAGACACTAGGTGGTGCAATGAGAGAGGGATAGGGGTGGAGTAAATGAATGGGTGTAGAGGAAGATGGCGGAGACATTGAGTGGTGCAATGAGAGAGGGATAGGGGGTGGAGTAAATGAATGGGTGTAGAGGAAGATGGTGAGACACTGAGTGGTGCAATGAGAGAGGGTATAGGGGTGGAGTAAATGAATGGGTGTAGAGGAAGATGGCGGGACACTGAGTGGTGCAATGAGAGAGGGATAGGGGGTGGAGTAAATGAATGGGTGTAGAGGAAGATGGCGAGACACTGAGTGGTGCAATGAGAGAGGGATAGGGGCTGGAGTAAATGAATGCGTGTAGAGAAAGATGGCGAGACACTGAGTGGTGCAATGAGAGAGGGATAGGGGTGGAGTTAATGAATGGGTGTGGAGGAAGATGGCAAGACATTGAGTAGTGCAATGAGAGAGCGGGTGGGGCAAGTGAATGGTACAGAGATAGATGGCGAGACACTGAATGGTGCGACGAGAGAGGGTTGGGGTACACAAAATGGACCAACTTTTTCAGTCGAATAAAGTTGGACCAATTAGGAAATTAGCAATATTTTGCAAAATAGTAATGTCTGATTGTAGGTAAGGAGAAGCGCCTTATAGCCAGGGTTAGTGAGGGTAACTAGTAGGACAGGGAATAATGGGGGTGATTGAGAGTGGGTAGAGCAAATGAAGCGAGTGGGTGAGATCAGGATGTGTTGTGGTAACCGAGTAGGTGGTGCACATTAGTGCAAAAGGAACAAATAATTTGAAACGTGAGTGCTTCTCATAGAACTTATTGTATCCCATACAAGTCTCCGAAATGTTTCATTCAAATTTTTTCAAGCATGCTTTGATATGTGTCAACATGTGATCAGTGCTACCCCTTAGTGAGGGTTAAAGGTTAAAGGTCATCCCCTTTTACCTCTGAAGACATTTACATGTGTATACATTGTATGTTTTGCCATTTTACTTCATTGTGTGTTTACTCTGAATTTCATTTCCTATTTGAATGTAAAATGTATCTCGATTTGCGCTGTAAGTATTTTGAAGTATTACAAAATTACATAGATCAGCAATACTTTCTGAACACATTATCATGTACCAATTTTTCAACAGTAACAAATTGTTCTACTTCCATTAAGGCAGGATTGTCATTGTGTTCTTTATACAAATGAATCTGACTGTCAACTGCCACTACCTTATAATTACACTTGTTTATTTTGTATTGTATGTGGGGCTTGTTACGAAATAAACTTGATTGATTGATTGAATAATATAATGTATATAACTGTGGGCTTCACACATTGTATCTGTGTGAGGAATCGAACCCGAACGCTTCAACCACCCCACCGCCCCGAAACGAATATAGGAACGCTCTTTTTATACTGGGCGGTGGGGTAGCCTAGTGGTTAAAGCATTGGCTTGTCATGCCGAAGACCCGGGTTCGAATCCCCACATGGGTACAATGTGCCCATTTCTGGTGTCCCCCGCCGTGATGTTGCTGGAATATTGCTAAAAGCGGCGTAAAACCAAACTCAGTCAGTCAGTCAGCCCTTTTATACTCTTCTGCTGACTGCCTGATGGGAACGCGTGGAGTATAATGTTATCGAAATATTTAGATCTGACTTTCCAGTTGAATCATTCTAACACAATATGCAAGTATACTGATTGAAACAAATAAGAGAACACATGGAAGTACAAGTGTTCCTCTATTCTTTTCGGGGCAGCGGCAGGCAGTCGCCCATTTATACTCCACCTGTGAAGATCCGGGTCTTCAGCAACATGCTCGTCCCATTTCGGGTACATACTCCTTATCAGAGAGTTTAGAGTTTCATGGGGACCTATCGAAGATCTTCAAGTTTGGTAAGACTCCGTGGTGTAGTGGTTAGCGTTCGCCCATGCTTGTCGTCAGGGGCGACTATGGTACTGGATCCCTGCCTGGCTCGGCATTAATGGCATACTCGGAGTCTTATCAGAGCTTCAGTTTAGAGTTTCATGGGCCGCACGTACACATGTCCCAATATCGCACTCACCTCGTAAAACCCAATTTCACCTAACCTCACCTCAAGTTTGGTAAGTCCCTTTTGGTCAACACCTTCATCATCCCCCAACTGTTCTCAAGGAGATCCAGATCCAGGCTGTAGCTCGGAAATGGGAGCAACGTCACAGTTTTCTCTTGGAACCACTGTTTAGCGGGCTTTGCCATGTGCTTTTGGTCATTGTCCTGGTGCAAAATCCAGTCATTCCTATAAGAGACTCCTGCATTTGGAAGAAAGTTCTCAAGAATATCTGTGTACCGTTCACTGGTCAAAATTCCCTCAAACACACACAAAGGAGTCCCAGTAACGACACTCCATCCCACACATGAAACTTTGGATTGTATTTCGGCCTGTGGTACGCCGGTGCTGAATCAGATTTTGTCGACATCTTATCATTATTAGGATACACCCAGAATGAACTTTCATCAGTGAAAATGTTGTTTTTTGTTGTTGTGTTTTTCATATTTCATGGTACAGGAAACATGTATAGATACATTTCATGATAATACAATGGTTTATGTATACATGTATACAAGTGTACAATTGGCTGAAAATGTAAAATTGGCAGGATTATTTTCCAAGTTGAGTTGACCAATACTGAAAAAACAATTGCTCAGTTCCCGTTGATAGGTAAACATATCTTGACATCATAGTGACGGACAATTTCATTTTTTAAATATTCTAATTTTGGACTGAAACAATTTATGCTGCATCTGTAGATATAGTGTTTGACTACTGAAATGATTTCATAAATATGATTATTGTTCTTTCATTTCATTCCCTTTTATTTGTGAGTTCCAGTTGTAACTGTACTGAGTTCAACCATGATTCTATTTCTTTCCATAATTTAAAAACAGATTCACATTCCAATAACATATGGTTGATAGTTTCTCTTTCTGTTTCACAAAATGGACATATTGGTGAAGATGAGTATCCAATTTTATAAAGTAATTGTCTTCTTGTGAGAATATTATGAAATATTATATATTGCAACCGTTTCAAGTCTATGCTTCGCGAACATTTATTTGCAATAATGCAAATATATTTCCAGTCATTTTCAGTAAAATCACTCTGTAGAACTCTCTCTCTCATTTTAAAAAGCTTGGCAACCGGACACATTTTGAGTTCAAGAGAGAGGCGTATAGTTTTTTACTCCCAATTATAGAGTCAATTTTTGAGACATTAAAAGAATAAACTGGTTCGCATAATTTCTTTTTAAATTGCTTTATATTCAGTGTTCGGGCATATGTTATAATGTCTCTCATCGATTCGTATGTTAAAAAATTAGTTTTTATTGAAACTAATTGGAAAATTCTTCATATCTGAACAGTCTGCCTTCTTCATGCAGCAACTCGTTAACAAAAACAACACCTTTTTTGTACCACTCAAGATACAGGAAGGGATGACTATCAATTCTAATATTGTCGTTATTCCACAAGGATTGGCATTGTATCTCTTCTTCATTTACAGTTTCTCTTTACACATGGTTATAAAGTTCCACCATTCTAAAAGTATGTCTATCCAAAAGGAATT